ACCGTCGTTTTCGAGGAGGTCCATCGGTTGCTCCACAGTAGGGTGGTGACTTGAGCTGGATCATATTAAGAGTAGACTTGCGATGCATCTGCCTCACTAATTTTATTCTCCCAACTGGTCCCAGAGTAAAAAAGAGTAAAAATACTGAATATGGGAGAGGGTGCAGGCAGCTGGCGCGGCCCGAGCGCATGTAAGCGTGTCGCCGCATCTGGCTCGGATCCCACCTGAGTTGAAGTGCCATAAAGGCCACATCAACAGGAAGCCATTGAAACCTGACTCTTAAACTGCCAGTTATCCACTCCACACAAAACACTGGGCTAACCGCGCGGTCCGAGATATTCCTTTAGTTGGCACTCTTCCAAACCATGGCTTTTACCGAACCGTTGTAACTTCAAGTGCGTCACACTGCTTATAGTAAGGAAAGTGCGATTAGCCATCTACCTCATTCTCTCCCCTCACCTTCAGTATCAGTCCGCCATCCGTGCCGGTCAGTTGTCTGATGCAGTTACATAGAGTCAATGACTCAGAAACGCCTCCAGGATATTTAAAGGGAATACATGGGACAAGGCCGGCCCATTCAAACTTACCAACATATAATACATTATTTTATACCGACTAACTATAAACGATCATCAATACACAAAGAAGTAGTTCGACCGTACTTACGAAGCGGTTGTGAATTATTATTTAAAGCCTAGCCGAGATTAAAGGGAATGACGAAACGGTATAACGTCAAGTTGGCGTGTTCTAACACTATATGGATAAGACAAGTGAATTTAACAGCAAATAAAAACTACGAAAATTTTTATATCCGCTTTGAAAAGTCTATTGTTTGTCCAATTTAGTTTGGTGACATTAACAAGTGCCGATAGAAGCGAATAGGCGAGTTCCAGGAAGCAGTTCAGACGTGAAAGATACAATCGCTGGGACAAGAAGTTTATTTGCCTGACGTTTCGGATTCTGTCGAGAACCTTACATTAGAGGTAACCGTAGAAAAGGGTGATACCTGCACAAAAAAGTGCTGCATTGGAAAAAGTGGCCTACGTCCGATTCCTGCTCGGGCATCTTGACTTTTGTCTTGTTATCGGTTCAGGCAGGGAGAGGGTTTAGAGTGAGGTGGACAGCTGCGCGTCAGTTTCACTTAAATCTCTTCTCTGTCTCGTATTATCGTCCCTGCTCTTGAGGACATGGTGGACTTAATCGAAATCGATGGTCGAACTCACAGGGTGATATATTCAAAGATTACGCAGCATCTATAGTTCGCAGTGGCCACGCGACCGCATGCGCACAATACTTATTATACCCCGTAACCACAGCTGAGGGTCGTAATTAGTGCAGTGATGGCTTGACAGTCCACTTCTGAGTCATTAATGGCCGCGATTTCGTCATCCGTGTTGGATGCGGGCTTCATAATTAGGCGACAATTATGTTCGCTGTTGTCGCAGTTGTTGCTGAGCCCCACCCTTCCCACGTGACTGAGTCTCCTGCTTATACAATGTCTCAGTACGGAGTATGGGAAC